TTACATTCTCAATAGGTTTTGAATTGTCAGCACAAAAACTGGCCAAATCTTGTTCTACTCCTGGAACCATAAAGATGCTAGAACTATTGACATTTCTCTCTTCACGGCTACATGCACTTAATCTCCATTTTTTTGTAACAGGAGGATCTTCAATATTGTTGCTATCGGGTACCTCTCTCTTGATTGATTGGCACTCTATAGCATCTATTCCCTGTGTGTTACTCAACAAGTCTGTCTTCTGGTCCTTGGAGGCCGCAGATGGATTAGTAGAACCAATGCTTCTTATTGGAACCACTTCTTCTGAAGTATTATTTTCTATACCATTAATGCCAGAAGGGACTTCCTTAACAATGATAATAAATTTACTGGCATCAGAAGCATCAGTCTTACCCTTATCCAAGCACACGAAATCCAAAAAGTTAGGTCCTTTTGTTTGCTCCTCTGAAGCATCCTCATTGTTAGAATCATCTTCAGAAGTAGAATCCTTCTCAGTTATATCAGTTCTACTCAGAGTTGTGTTCTTTACTTTTGTATTACAAATTGGAGTTGGTGGCATGCGATAGCAATGGTGTTGCGAATCAGGGGAGTTTTCCTGGTCTAATTTTGTTTCATTAGTTCATCATTTTCCTTCCTTGGTTGTGCAATCATCATCTGCATTTGTCTCAAGCTCAATTAGCTCAGGATCTAAAGCAACTTTACCCAGGACATCACAAATGGAATCAAAATAGTCATCCCTCTTCTCTAGTTCCCTTGAAAACTTGTTAACTCGAGGGACTAAAAAAATAAGACGATGCTTATAAGCAACAACATAATTATCATCACTTCCCAGCTTCTCAGAGTGCCAACCTCTAGCAAGAAAACGAGGCCAAACAGCTTCCCAGAAGAGATCACCTGATCGAGCTTTACTTAATCTGAAATTTCCTGTTATTATGTTTTTAATTTCTGTAGGTGTAAGCCTTGAGCAATCTTTGCCAACTGGTTTTTCTAGACGAACAGGAAGTTCCTTAGTGGACTTCACAGAATCTGCAGTGAGACCTGTAAGATCTTTTTTTGTACCAACTCCAACTGGCTCAACAAGAGTATTGAGCCCTACTGAAGCCTTTAAAGTTAAAACATAATCTTTTAGAAGCATTTTTCCTTCCACAAATGTCTTGGACACCTACCATGCAATTCAATTTAATTTTAGCAAAAACACATTCCTCAGTGAATAGGGAGTAACTGATGAAGAAGATATATAATGATGCAGCAATTTTTCAAGTTTAAGATAAAACGATGACACATTGAAAAGTTCAATTAGACTGACAATACCTGTTGATCTCACAGAAATTGTAGGCAATGAAAAGTGTATTACAATCTTTCCATTTGGTAACCACTTGGCACAACATTTAGTCATCAACATCAACAAATTCATATGTGAATGTGATTTCACTATTGATTCAATATATCAAACATGTATTGACAAAATATTGGTCAATTACATTCTAGATTGTGCAAGAAGCAAGTGGCCATGATGCATGAAAACATTGATCCAAACTTAGGAGATTCGTGTGTCTACCTACTATTTTATGATTGGGACAAGAATAATGTCATGAAATGATGGAATTAAAAGGGCATAAACTTAGGAAGAGTTTATGTAAATACCTCAAGTAATTTACTGTGGCATTCCTCTGGTACATTGGGTAGTAAACGTGATAAAAGCTCTTGTTGCCTTGGTCCTGTGAAAATTTTTTGCCCATGAATGTGTTGGACTTAACTTGTTTTCTTTTGTGACTATTATAAAATTTACATTAATTCTATATCATAAATGTTACGTTTTCCATTCAATAAAAATTAACAAATTAATATTTTTTCTTTTTATATTGTGGATTCACTATCCTTTATATACAAGCTTTTATATCATCCGTTATACACGCGCTCACGCATGCTCTTTATATGTACATTAAAAAACTATAATTTCTTTCTATAATATGAACTTGTAAAAGTTTAACCTTTTATAGGATTTTATTCCTTTTAATATCTTCAAGAAGGCACCTAATAATTTAGCATTAAGTATTATCCATTTCAAGATTATAAATTCATATTTTTTTTTTTGATAACATTATAAATTCATATTTTATTTAAAGCAAATAAGCTAAGACTTAATGGATTAACTTTTGTCAGTAATTCCAAATAATTTTATTTAATAATCGAATCAGAGAGTTTTAAACTGTATCAATTGATTCATTTAGTTTAAATTTTTAGGTGTTTTATTTTTAAATCCCAGGTTAATGAGTTGAGGCAGGTGATTTGACTGATAATTATAAAAAATTCTTTCTCTACGTATAGTAGAATGTGAATCATTAAAAAGAAAGTCCACGTGTCAAAAACATTCACACGCGCAATAATTGCGCTTGGGCCATACTATACCCTCTCTCCAATATCTTATATTATTATATTATACTTAAGGGATGTTTATAGGAAAAAAATTAATTTAATGTTTTTTAATAAAATAATTACGCATTTATTACAGTTTTGAGAATAATTACAGATCTATTGCACAATGTCACATGTGACGCCCTATTGAGGCGTCTCATCCTAAGGGGAGACGCCCCAATGGGTCGTCACTTATCAGGTGTTGACACGTGTCATTTTTTTTTCCAAAAAAAAAATTAATTTAATTATAAAACTTTTGAAGGCCATAACTTTTGACTCCGGTATCCAAATCAGGTAATTCTTTTTTGATTCCACATAACTTTTTGAGATCTACGCAATGACATCTCATTTGATATATTTTATTTCTCACAAACATAATTTAAATTTAAATCAAGTAATCCTTCTTCCTTAGAGATTTAGAATATTTATTTTATTATTTCCTTTATTAATACAGATTTTTCAAATTTATTTTTTAGTTTAAATCACAAATCAAATCTTTATTTTGTTTTCCTTATTAATAATAATTGTTACTTTTAATTTAAATCACAAACCAAATTTTTTTTATAATAAAAAAAAAATTATTTTAAATCACACATCAAATCTTGATTTATTTTTTATATTAAATCACAAACGCAGAACTCATAGGCTTCTGAGTTTAAAAATGTGACACGTGTCAACACTTGACACGTCACCAATCACGTCTAAATTGGGTGTCAATCAAGAGGCAATCACGCCTAATTTAGGTAATTTTACTTTTGACAAACATTCATAAGCCATCATTAATTTCAGACCACGAATAATAGCCCAGAAGCTTATAGCATTAATCATTAATTTCAAAAATAATTTCCTTCTTCCTTAGAGATTTAGAATATTTATTTAATTATTTCCTTTATTTCTACAGATTTTTCAAATTGATTTTTTTGTTTAAATCACAAATCAAATCTTTATTTTGTTTTCCTTATTAATAATTATTTTTATTTTTATTTTTAATTTAAATCACAAACCAAATTTTTGTTATAATAAAAAAATTATAAAAAAAATTTAAATCACAAATCAAAATTTTATTTATTTTTTTTATATTAAATCACAAACCCAGAACTCAGAAGCTTCTGGGTTTAACCGCTCTTGTAATACCATTCTTGCAAATTAAAATTATGTTTGTGAGAAATAAATTATATCAAATGAGATGTCATTAAGTAGATCTCGTAAAGTTATGTCGAATCAAAAAACAATTACCTAATTTGGATACCCGAGTCAAAAGTTATGGCCTTCAAAAGTTTTATGATTAAATTAATTTTTTTTTTGGAAAAAAAATGACACGTGTCAACACCTAATAAGTGACGCCCCATTGGGGCGTTTCTCCTTAGGGTGAGACACCTCAATGGGGTGTCACATGTGACGCCCAAAAGGGGGGTCACATGTGACGCCCAAAAGGGATGTCACATTGTGCAATAGATCCGTAATTATTTCCAAAACTGTAATAAATGCGTAATTATTTTATTAAAAAACTTTAAATTAATTTTTTTGCCGATGTTTATATTAACAATTTTTTTTTACAAACTTTTACAAATTATATTATGTCGAATCGGTAATTTATGTAACACCGATATCGACACGTGACACAATACGACACGACACTCCGATACGTTAATTTTAAAAAATATTAGATTTTGACACGTTTGGACACGTTTTGATATTAAATAATATTTTTAATTTATGTAGTGTATATTATATTTAATGTTCAATAATTTAACAAAAAAATGAAACTAAACTTATAATATTCATCAATTCTGCAAAGAAACATAAGATATCCCAAATATTTATATTAAACTCAATAACATGTTAATCGTAATCCAACAAATCTAATAGTTGGAACTAAAAACTCAACACAGTGCAACATTTGAACCTTTTTTAGAATTTTTATAACGCGTGTTGGAGTGTCGGGAAGTGTTAGAGTGTCAAGAAGTGTCGGACACGACACGTCAGGGTTTTTGAAGTGTCGGTGCTTCATAGCCGACTCTTAACTAAAGTATTACCGGTCAGACATAGTATAATTTGTAATTTTTATAAAATAAAAGTTTGTAAACCCATATTTAGGAAAGATTTGTGAAAGAAAATATTTCCCTATCACACTTGCACAAAAATAAATAGATTCTATTGTAAATAAAAGGAAGAAATCTTTTTTATGGGATTCATTTATTTTTATATAGATATGATAGATAAATATTTTTTTCAATAAAACCGGAAATATTAAACCCTATATTTGTAATCTTATTATAAATATGTCATTCATATATGTTTTTTATTTTCACACCCCTCCATCACATTATCTCTCTCATATTTTTCTTTCTTTCTTTCTCTCTCTCTCGACCCTCTCTTACCACAGTTTGTCCAATTCAACCTTCGTCCCCACGAAAGCTTAAGCTTTCTCAAAGCAGGTACCACTCTCTCTCTGTCTCTCTCTTTCTCTTTATGGTGTTTGCAGTAAACTATTTTGTATGTGTGTTTGTGGTTTTGTTCCTCATAGGCTTTGCTTGTTCACGTTTTCTTTGTTTTCAATCTGCAAACTTGCCAATCGGTGTGTAAACATGAACACCCTTTTCTACAGGCTAGTTTTTTCACGTGGTCACAGAGCTTTCTTCTCCTTTTTCTTCGTCTTCAATGGAGGTAACACTGGGAATCTCCTTGTTCTTTTGTTCCTTTTGTTTCTACTTTTTTTTTCTGTGTGGCCACGCCATCGTGCTTTGTTTTCTTTTGTATGATTTCAATGTACATGTGAATGTGTTCTAGCAGTTTTTTTCGAGTGAATGACGAGAATTTTCTCGGATCATGTTGGATTTTTTTCTCTTGCTTGTCTGTTTCTTCGTGCTTTTGTTTTTATCTTTTAATATTTTATTTTTTATTTTTTATTTATTTACTTTTCTTTCTTCGTTGTTGATGTTTGAGTTTGGTTTCAGATATGAATGTTGCTGGTTTTGTAACGATTGTTTTGGTTCTGGGAGTAATGTGTTTAATAGGTCGTCATGCATTTATTTCAAAGTCTTCGACTTTGGATTCCGGGTTGCTCCTGTTTCAATTTTGGGGTCAGGAAGTGGATCTACTCGATTGTTTCGTTCTTAGTTTGCGTTTTGGTCCTCTATTTGTTCCTTACTTCTCAGAAATATCTCAACTCCAATTTTGTTTAATGGCAAAGTTTGTCCCTGTGACTTTTGAGTCGAGTTTGTTGGCACAAACTTGGAGACACTGTTTTTAGATTTCTATTTCTAAATGATGATGATGATTTTGGGATTTTTTTTTAATATCTGAGAGTAGTTTTTAATTTTTTAATGACACTATAAATATATATAAATATTTATCCTTCTGGAATCTCAGAATCCGCCTACTTATCCTATTATAAATGAACTATCGATGCACAGATTTAGATATTCTCATGTGAAAAATTAGTCATATTATTTGATCACAACTACTTATTGATAATAAGTTAAGAGAGAGAGAAATATATGATTTTTAAATGAATAATTGTAATCAAATAACATGACCAGTTTTTCACATTCAAATCCTTGAGTACATCAACAGCACCAAAAGATTTGTTCCATTATCCTAAATGCTTTTGGAATTTTTTTATTTATTTTAATGAAAAGACCACAAGGTGTCTTTAGATTTTGGTGTCAGTTCATTACACAAAGTATATTTTTCCAATGTTTATTTATTGACAGGTGGATTCAGTTCTAGTTAATGGCTTTGAGGAGCAAGCATTTTCTCCGTATTGTTATGACGTTTATGATGATTTTGGTGATCCAAACATATTTCCTAAGGTGGGTGAGCAGTACCAGGCTGAAATTCCACCTTTAATGTCAGAATCTGACTGTTCTTGGTTTCAAAAGAAGCCACGTGATGCAGAAAGAACATGTACCTTCAATGAGTCTCAATTAGGATTACCAATTTGTATAATTTGGATCAAGGATGAAGTAGAGGACAATAAGCATGGTCCACTGAAACATGCATGCGAGTCAATTGGATTTACCAAAAAAAGTGAATTTTCAAAAAAAGATGCATCCTGAATAGTCCTAGCCATGATAAATTGAATCCAGAACCCGAGGACATTGACATTACATTGGTCAATGGAACAAAATTGGGGGCATCTGGAAATTCCAGTGTGCAACAAGAAACAAAGATTGGGGTGCATGAGAATAAATGCAAAGGCCATTGTCTGGTTCCTGGGTCTTCAACTGACACCTGGAATGAAATAGAAGAGGCCAGTTTCACCCTTGGCTTGTATATATTTGGGAAGAATCTTGTTAAAGTGAAAAGATTTATTGGCAATAAGACAATGGGGGATATAATGGCATTCTACTATGGGAAATTTTATAAGTCTGAGAGATATCAAAGGTGGTCTGAATTGAGGAAAATGAAAAGCAGAAAATGCATTCATGGGCAAAAAATTTTCACAGGACCAAGGCAACAAGAGCTTTTATCTCGTTTACTACCCAATGTACCAGAGGAATGCCACAGCAAATTTCTTGAGGTATTTACATAAACTCTTCCTAAGTTTATGCCCTTTTAATTCCATCATTTCATGACATTATTCTTGTCTCAATCATAAAATAGTAGGTAGACACACGAATCTTCTGAGTTTGGATAAATGTCTTCATGTATCATGGCCACTTGCTTCTTGCACAATCTAGAATGTAATTGACCAATATTTTGCCAATACCAAAATTTTACCAAATGGAAAGCTTGTAATACACTTTTCATTGCTTACAATTTCTGTGAGATCAACAGGCATTGTCAATCTAATTGAACTTTTCAATGTGTCACCGTTTGCTGCATCATTATATATCTTCTTCATGTGTTACTGCCTATTCACTGAGGAATGTGTTTTTTCTAAAATTAAATTGAATTGCATGGTAGGTGTCCAAGACATTTGTGGAAGGAAAAATGCTTCTAGAAGATTATGTTTTAACTTTAAAAGGCTTCAGTTGGGCTCAATACTCTTGTTGAGGCAGTTGGAGTTGGTACAAAAAAAGATCTTACAGGTCTCACTCCAGATTCTGTGAAGTCCACTCAGGCACTTCATGTTCGTCTAGAAAAACCAGTTGGCAAAGATTGCTCAAGGCTTACACCTGTAGAAATAATAAACATTCTAACAGGAAATTTCAGATTAAGTAAAGCTCGATCAGGTGATCTCTTCTGGGAAGCTGTTTGGCCTCATTTACTTGCTAGAGGTTGGCACTCTGAGAAGCTGGGAAGTGATGATAATTATGTTGTTGCTTATAAGCATCCTCTTATTTTCTTAGTCCCTCGAGTTACAAGTTTTCAAGGGAACTAGAGAAGGGGGATGACTATTTTGATTCCATTTGTGATGTCCTGGGTAAAGTTGCTTCATATCCTGAGCTAATTGAGCTTGAAACAAATGCAGATGATGATTGCATAACCAAGGAAGGAAATGGATGTACTAAGGAAACAAAACTGGACCAGGAAAACTCCCCTGATTCGCAACACCATTGCTATCCCATGCCGCCAACTCCAATTTGCAGTACAGAAGTAAATAACACAACTTTGAGTAGAACTGAGATAACTGAGAAGGATTCTACTTCTGAAGATGATTGTAACAATGAGGATGCTTCAGAGGAGCAAACAAAAGGATCTGACTTTTTGGATTCTGTGTGCTTGGATAAGGGTAAGACTGATGCTTCTGATGCCAGTAAATTTATCATCATTGCTAAGAAAGTCCCTTCTCGCATTAATGGTATAGAAAATAAACATTTAGAAGAAGTGGTTCCAATAAGAAGCATTGGTTCTACTAATCCATCTGTGGTCTCCAAGGACCAGAAGACAGACTTGTTGAGTAACACACAGGAAATAGATGCTATGGAGTGCCAATCAATCAAGAGAAAGGTACCCGATAGCAACAATATTGAAGATCCTCCTGTTACAAAAAATGGAGATTAAGTGCTTGTAGCCGTGAAGAGAGAAATGTCAATAGTTCTAGCATCTTTATGGTTCCAGGAGTAGAACAAGATTTGGCCAGTTTCTATGCTGACAATTCATTTTCAGTGAGAAAGAACATTTTCACTGAACTTTGAATTCAAAAGGCAGTAAATGGCATTCTCTTGGTTTATTCTGGGAGACACAAAGATGTTTGCAATTACATTCTCAATAGGTTTTGAATTGTCAGCATAGAAACTGGCCAAATCTTGTTCTACTCCTGGAACCATAAAGATGCTAGAACTATTGACATTTCTCTCTTCACGGCTACATGCACTTAATCTCCATTTTTTTGTAACAGGAGGATCTTCAATATTGTTGCTATCGGGTACCTCTCTCTTGATTGATTGGCACTCTATAGCATCTATTCCCTGTGTGTTACTCAACAAGTCTGTCTTCTGGTCCTTGGAGGCCGCAGATGGATTAGTAGAACCAATGCTTCTTATTGGAACCACTTCTTCTGAAGGATTATTTTCTATACCATTAATGCCAGAAGGGACTTCCTTAGCAATGATAATAAATTTACTGGCATCAGAAGCATCAGTCTTACCCTTATCCAAGCACACGGAATCCAAAAAGTCAGGTCCTTTTGTTTGCTCCTCTGAAGCATCCTCATTGTTAGAATCATCTTCAGAAGTAGAATCCTTCTCAGTTATATCAGTTCTACTCAGAGTTGTGTTCTTTACTTCTGTATTGCAAATTGGAGTTGGCGGCATGCGATAGCAATGGTGTTGCGAATCAGGGGAGTTTTCCTGGTCTAATTTTGTTTCATTAGTACATCATTTTCCTTCCTTGGTTGTGCAATCATCATCTGCATTTGTCTCAAGCTCAATTAGCTCAGGATCTGAAGCAACTTTACCCAGGACATCACAAATGGAATCAAAATAGTCATCCCCCTTCTCTAGTTCCCTTGAAAACTTGTTAACTCGAGGGACTAAGAAAATAAGAGGATGGTTATAAGCAACAGCATAATTATCATCACTTCCCAGCTTCTCAGAGTGCCAACCTCTAGCAAGTAAACGAGGCCAAACAGCTTCCCAGAAGAGATCACCTGATCGAGCTTTACTTAATCTGAAATTGCCTGTTATAATGTTTATTATTTCTGCAGGTGTAAGCCTTGAGCAATCTTTGCCAACTGGTTTTTCTGGACGAACAGGAAGTGCCTGAGTGGACTTCACAGAATCTGTAGTGAGACCTGTAAGATCTTTTTTTGTACCAACTCCAACTGCCTCAACAAGAGTATTGAGCCCAACAGAAGCCTTTAAAGTTAAAACATAATCTTCTAGAAGCATTTTTCCTTCCACAAATGTCTTGGACACCTACCAGGCAATTCAATTTAATTTTAGCTAAAACACATTCCTCAGTGAATAGGCAGTAACAGATGAAGAAGATATATAATGATGTAGCAACTTTTCAAGTTTAAGATAAAACAGTGACACATTGAAAAGTTCAATTAGATTGACAATGCCTGTTGATCTCACAAAAATTGTAGGCAATGAAAAGTGTATTACAAGCTTTCCAATTGGTAACCACTTGGCACAACATTTACTCATCAGCATCAACAAATTCATATGTTTTATGATTGAGACAAGAATAATGTCATGAAATGATGGAATTAAAAGGGCATAAACTTAGGAAGAGTTTATGTAAATACCTCAAGTAATTTGCTGCGGCATTCCTCTGGTACATTGGGTAGTAAACGAGATAAAAGCTCTTGTTGCCTTGGTCCTGTGAAATTTTTTTGCCCATGAATGCATTTTCTGCTTTTCATTTTCCTCAATTCAGACCACCTTTGATATCTCTCAGACTTATAAAATTTCCCATAGTAGAATGCCATTATATCCCACATTGTCTTATTGCCAATAAATCTTTTCACTTTAACAAGATTCTTCCCAAATATATA